GTCGCCTTTGAAAGTTCAATTTAAGTATGATTCACCATGTAAACAAAAATTCCAAAGGTGACTCGACAGCAACTCATTTTTGGTCGCATAGTGGACAAATGGCCCAAAACATCTGAACTTAAAATAATCATTTTTTACTCAAAGCCACGTTGATGAAATTTAAAAATTGTCAATAGCTGCCATATTTTTGATTTTAGAAAAATATGACATATGAGAATTTTTGTTGGCAATGTAATTCTCTACCTAGTGAGGATATCGTACACAGGGTGTTCCATTAGAAACTGTTTTTCTGTTTTCACCATTGTATTAGCGTAAAACAACACACTAATTCTATTAGGTATAATTACAAAGTTAGCAATAGTACCGACTTAAGTTCGAACACTCCGTATATAATTTGCGTGTTTAGTTTAACTCTAATACCTATTGATAGTGCCTTATTTGTATTCCTTCCAGTTCATCCCTTTCCTTCCACCCCCACATCTCCGTTCCGTACATAAGCACCCTTTGCATCGAATTATTTTCTTGTTCTGAAATTATTCTTGAAACCCTGCTCTCCTATTCCCCATACCTGTCTCATCGCCACAACCCCCTTTTTTCGTAGTTCTCTTATATGCGCATTTACTCTATTATTTCTTTGCCTTTGGTACCTAAATATTTAACTTCTCTTACTTCATTTATTCTTTCCTTTCACCACTATGCCAAATCTCATCATCATCGTCGACTTTTCTACATTTATCTCAATCCGTTTCCTTTCCCAATAACCCTCCATTCTTCCCATCATTTCCTTCATCTGTTCTACCTCTGGTTCCATTATCATCGCTTCGTACGCGTATGCTAGGGACCAAACCTTCCTTCTGGCCCCCTGGCTACTGCTCTTTCCATGTCTCTTTCATTTCTCTATCATCTCTCTATATTTGTTCCTCTCTTCCGTGCACGGTCCTCATCCCCTTATTTTTTCCCTCCCCTTCATTTATTTGTTTCTGCGTTAATGCCTTCATATTTTACCATCCCCCCTGTACGCTACCACCTATTTCTTCTCCTTGTTCCTCTAGTCTCCTTCTACACAACTCCGCAGTGTCTCTTATATATAACAGAATCTCCCTCTTTCTTTACCTCTTTCCCTTCCTCGATTTCTTATCTTCATATTAATAAATGAATACAGAAGGTATAAGATACAAACAAGTTAAAAAGTAATCGTAAACGATTTACATAAAGCGCATTTCCACTTGCATTCATTTCCCATTTATAAGATGCAACTTCTGCTAAAATCGTAAAAATCCGGCCACAAATATGAAAGATAGCGTTGCACATGGGTAATCCATTTTTGACGTGTTACTTCAATTTCAGTTTATGAGAAGAATTTCATTTCAATGCTTTTCTAAATAAGAAAGTTGGAACTGTGCATGCGCAAACCTAAATTTTAAAACTAATGTTAGATTTTCCTTTGTTCCAAGCGCCTAAGTATCAAATTTCACTTAAATGGTGCCATAGATAAAAAAGTTGGCACTGCGCCTGCGCAAAAGAAAATTTTTAGACTGGCGCTCGATGATCCTTTATCCCAAGTGCCTATGTGTCACATTTCATTTAAATTCTTCCATAAATAAAAAAAGTTGGCACTGCGCATGCGCAAAGCCAAGTTTTGAAACTGGCGTTTGATTTTCCTTTATCCCAAGTGCCTATGTATCAAATTTCGTTTAAATTCTTCCATAAATAAAAAAGTTGGCACTGCGCATGCGCAAAACCAAATTTTGAAATTGGCGTTTGATTTTCCTTTATCCCAAGTGCCTATGTATCAAATTTCGTTTAAATTCTTCCATAAATAAAAAAGTTGGCACTGCGCATGCGCAAAACCAAATTTTGAAATTGGCGTTTGATTTTCCTTTATCCCAAGTGCCTATGTATCAAATTTCGTTTAAATTCTTCCATAAATAAAAAAGTTGGCACTGCGCATGCGCAAAACCAAATTTTGAAATTGGCGTTTGATTTTCCTTTATTCCAAGTGCCTATGTATCAAATTTCGTTTAAATTCTTCCATAAATAAAAAAGTTGGCACTGCGCATGCGCAAAACCAAATTTTGAAATTGGCGTTTGATTTTCCTTTATTACAAGTGCCTATGTATCAAATTTCATTCAAATACTTTTATAAGTAAAAAAGTTTGCAATTCGGTTTATAAATGGTCGAGATGCGAAAAGGGCACTGTGAATTTTGAATCGATTCGATTCAACTTTTGGCATTGCGTATTATATGGCTAAAGCTATGCCCATATTGAATTTCATGCAATTCAGTTCATAACTAACGGAGATGTAAAAGCGATCGAACATTTCTAAACAAAGTTATCGTTCACACGGACAGATAGATGGACAGACAGACAAAGGAACAGACGGACAGACCAACCGGCAGACGACAGATAGCAATGCAAAATTATAAACGATCTCTAGGATCGTTAATAAACGGCAAAAGTGTAAAATTATGGAACATGTAAAAAACGGTTTTTTGTTTTTTTTACAATAACTTTTTTTGTAAGCGGTACAGAAAAAATTCCTTCCTTGGTACAAGACTCGACACCATAACGAACCAAATAGCGAAAAAAGTAGAACAATAGCTCTTAAGATAAAGAACTAGTAGCGTCGCAAAACGAGCGGACGGACGGACGGACGGACGGACAAAGTGGCCACAATAGCGCATTTTTTTTTATTTTTGTGGAAATGCGCTAAAAATGGATACATTTTCATAGGATTCTATCTCTGTTCCTACCTTAAATTCTTCTATTTCTTCCGGTATTTCTTTATTTACTAAATATAATCAATTACCGATCTCCCGTCCCTATCTCTCTCCATATTTGCGTTCAGAATTCTCCATCCTCTCCTTTATGATCATTCCAATAAAACTTCTCCCGCGATCTTGCCTTCTTTATCTTCTGATTTTATTTCCTGTGTTCTTCTTCCCATTTCTACCCAATTGCCTTTATTCCCTGTTTCTTCTCCTTTTCCTCTACCATATGTTCTATTTGATTTTTTAAGCCTTTCATTTCTTATTTGTTGTATATAGTCATCACTGTCATTTTCTTTCCCTCCGCTTCCACTCTATCCGGTATTCCTTCTTCCTTCTTCGCCTCCCCCCATTCCCCTTTTTACCCCCGCCAAAATACCTCATTTTGCTCTCCCCTTTCTATTATCCCTCTTCGCGTATTGACATGACAGAATGGTATACTTATAAATATTATTTTACCCTCTTAGCAAAATCAATGCACAGATAAATGCTCGACATGCACTTCAAACATATTCATACACGGCTACTGAGATTTTGAATCATTACAACACCCTAAACCATGTTCTATCTTTAATCTGCAGGTTGTCATTCCTTAATTCCTTAATTGCTCTCGTACGGACACTTTTTCCCTCTGACAGATTGTTAGTGCTAGAATTTGTTTCTGGCTGTGGTAGTTCACCCCGACCACAGAGGGCTGCCAGGAGGGGACTTTTGATATTCAATAGATATAGGGGATTTACTGTGTGTAATTTCAAGACTTTTAAAATGACAACCTAAATTTGGTCACTGGCTCTTGGTCTATATTCACGAATTCATAGCGGTGTCGATGCAAAATATAAATCCAAAATGCTCGGCAAATTCTCCCCCAAGTAAATGATTTGGCGGACTCAAGAGCAGAGTGTTGGTCACATTTGAAACAATGACCTCCGAGTTTTACATACAGAAGTGTTTAAAAGCACGACTGTAACCTTTCATACAAGCACACAGATCCACAACTCTCGTTTGGGCTGATTGAGGCAGTACTTTTGTTTTTGGCATAATTGGTTTTTTTCTACTTGGCCCAATTAATTATATAGTAACTTTTGGAAGGTCCGGATTCGATGTGAACAATGCTTTAAAGCAACTCCCTAAGCTGTTATTGTTAGTAGGCGACTTCAACTCACATTCAGAAATTGATGGCACATGATGGCTATACTGGTCGAATTAGTAAACCTACTCGTCAAAAAAATGGTGTCATTGCATCGCACAATGATAAAAACCTAATACGTTCTAAGAAAACACGTGTAAATTCACGTAGAATAATAGGGCAAAGTATGGAATCTTCACGGGTAACTGTGTCTACTCAATGAGTAGTGCAGCACATACTTCAGCCGTTTGGAAGAAGAGATGCGGGTACTTGAAACTAGATTATTGCTTTCAAATATCAGAGGGGGCGTCATCGTTTTCAGAAGCACTAAACCACTGAACATCTCGTCAATCTAGAAAATAACATTCAAAATACATTTTTACATCGACAATGGTAACAGTATTTTTGGATCTGAACAGGTTTATGACCATGACTTGGAGATATAACCATTATATAACGACGTAACGAATAAATCGGGTTTAAGAGTTAAGGGTCTATTTATGATAAATTTGCAACGCACATTTCGGACAAGAATACAAGACACCCTATCTCAAGTCCATACGATGGAAAATGGAACCCCTCAGGGATCTGTTATGAGCTATACCATTTACACTATGGCTATAGGTACCTACCTTATTTTTGTAATACGGACAATAAAAAGCTAGTCATAGTATTGAACAGTATTTTGTGTATACAGTTCAATAAATAATATGAATGCCTGGTCAAGTTGGTATCACTGGGATGAAAGGGCAAAAGAAAATACCCAACGAAGGCATATTAAACGGTCCATAAAAACATAGAACCATAGTAACTTTTCATTGTGTCTTCTTAGAGGTTTCACAACTCAATTTTTAAAAAATTGACCCGCTCTGTAAATGAACGTATAGGTATAAACGAAAAAAGTGAAGAATCGCAACGACAACAAGGAATACTTAAACGGAATGGGCAGAAAACACATATTAACGATTATTAACATTAACAACTGGCGCCGTAATAATACTAATCCAAATGTAATAAAACAGAAGATGTCTATTACAATATTTTATGTCATTTGGTCTTGTCAAAAAAAACGTGATGGTTCGTAATTTTTATATACGGAGGAAGAGTTTTAGGTATAAACGCGGTACATAGATCGCTCGTACAGGGGTCAATTAAATGCATTATTGCAAGATGCACCTATATGCATGAGTAAAATGTGTAAAGTTGTAGAAGCTAAGGATAGTTCAACGGACGCAAAGTTCTGAACAAGTTATGTACTTAGATGCAATAATATTCGGATTTGTTTCGTATGGATGGATAGACCAAGGTTGTGTTGCGGTATCGTGCGTTCCTAGTGTCCGTATAAGTAATACAAATCTGATTTATATCAATAGTAAGTATTTATAATAAAATACTCATTCATAGGCTGTAGGTACGTAACGGTTAATTTCAATTGAACCCCAAGTGCAAATAGGTAATGTGGAAAAAATATCGATAAAGACTGTGACCTGTTAACATATATAATTGTGTAGCTATAGGGTTGATGAGTAAAGGAAATATTAAAATTATATTGTCCAAGAAAAGAAGGCACACTGCTTGGAATTCAAACGCCAATGTCAAGTGAAATTAGTGTAAGTACACTAGAAAGGTGGCGTAATGACAATTGTATACTGCAATAATTGTGAAACCGATAATTTTGAATCGATTAATTCTATAATAATTTCCCTAAATGTGTAATTAGTTCGGTTACAGATAATTACCAACAAGTTCTTAAGTTGTACAAGGCATAATACATTTTCAATTAATTATGAATGGAAGTTAGCACCCTTCCACCTTGCAATTTGTATTGTAAGTAGTTGGATACGTATCGCGATCATTTCCTTCAAGGACAAACAGCATTTTTAAAATACATGGGCAATTAAAGGAACAACTACTATGCATAGCATATCTAGGCGATAATGAAATAATGAGGAACTTTAGACATAAAACATCATTGTAAAAGCACCATATCCTGTAGTATGAATTGTGTAATGCACGAACTGTAATTGTTCCAAAAATTCACTAAGGTATGTCATAATTATAGCAGTATTTCGTGTGTCTTTGTTTACTTTTAAGTGTCAAAGTACATATACAGGTGATATATGCGTTTCCTTTTAACGCTTCTTACGTAATGATTAAGTAGGTATGTTAATGAGGTATCCTATGCGCGTGCAAGAAGAATAGCTCCATCACCATTAAATTTTATGCAGTAGGATTTTCAGTGAAACATCTACGTAGGGCTTCGTGTAATCATGTGCTACGGCCTACGGCTAATAAACTCAAATTATTAAATTGAATGTCGACTGTAATTATAAAATCCTATAGTAATAGTAGATTATATTGGCTTGCTATTTTGGGGTACGAGCAAATTTTGCATTTCCACGGCGAAGCGAATTAAAAGTTCACTTTAGTTCGCACGATTCCTTTTTTTCTACAGAGGTTGTACCTACTCTACTGTACATACAAACGTTTCAAAAAGTGGCGCGAGGAAAATAGAAACATTAAAAATTTATTAGAGAATGTAGGTACATACTTTCGCGATTAAATAAAAAGTTGAATCGCCCACATTGTGGTCGCAATTTTATACAATGATTAATAATGATTTTATCCCATTCAAAAGTAAACTTTATTTTTCTAGATCTGTAGGTACTATAATACCTTAGATCTCACAGAAACAATTTCTATAAGGAACTGTATTTGCAATCTCCCAGCACCTCGATAAGCAGACGGTTGGGCGGACGATATTGCTTACAATAACATTTTCCATTTTTAAAATACGATCAAAATGGCTTAAAAATATCTGTTAATTTAGAGGACTTCAAGCACTAGTAGAGAAAAAATAATACAATATACATACAGTCTGTTCTACAAAATGTGTGTCACACATATATACACATAATTTTATATGTGACATTACGATCTATCTGCACTGAGAAAAAAGTTTGGTTACAGTAAACAAATTTTATTTTGAGTTAACAAATATTAAGTTCAAATGTCAACAAACAAATAAAATGTTTTTGTTACCAAATGGTTTGCTCAATTATGGCAAGTAAAGATAACTTAACACATAGAAATAGTATTTTTACCATAAGCAATAAATGATTGAAATTAATCCTACATATTTGTTTGAAGATAATGCTATTCTTTAACTGTTAACATATAATTGTTATACCCTAAGCTTCAAACTGTTTGATAGTAATGTGGTATAATAACTATAAATTTGATATTTACTAGCTATTAAAGAAGGCAAAATTCGAGGCAAAATTGGTATTAAATTTTGTTTAATAATGATAATGGAATATGTTGATAATATAGATCTAATGGTATTTTATTATTAAGAAACGTTTTGTACTAATTCCGGTATAAATGATACTTACCACAATTTCTTTACTAATCACAAAGTGATTTAAGAATTATGCACTTGATGGGCACAAAATATTTATTAACTTTCAACTTTGATAGGATTAAACGGGATGTAAATTAAATAATATTAACAACAAAAAATCCAAATCAATAACTGTTTATTTTTTAAAAAATCCTGTAGATAATCTTAAATGTGCTAAAAATACGTAACTGCGTTAATACACTACTTAACTACTTGTTAATTTTACTAATAATAAAAAGAAAAATAATCATTTATTCTACTTTAAACATATTTAACACATATTGTCCACCAGCAACCAAATGTATGTTGAACGTGTTCAATATATACCTAACCACACCTATCAGGATGTATAGTATTACAGTAATAACTAATAACATTACAAAATAAAAACACACCTTTATCTTCTGTAGAAACATACTTTACAATCCCAACTATACAGGTAATTCACCGACATCCTCTGGGTCTAGAAGTATCAACGCGCAACCAATTGTGAAATTCACTCCATTAAATTTAAACGACTCAACTTCGAAAAGGGATGCTCAATTCGGTACGCGATCTTTTAATAAAATTCTATGTGTTTCATCCATTGTGTTTTTTTACAAATTCTAAAAATAAAATGCGGATGTAATTTTCAATGAACTCGTAGGTATACCAAGACAACATTAATTACCAAAATCAAAATTTAGTTCCCAAGTAAAACAACCAAAAAGTAAAAAATTAAAACAATATAGCAAACGAGCTCCTAGTATGGCTATAGCTTGGCATTATTATATGGCTAAACTAAAGCTATGCTCATTTTGTGTTTTCTGGTAGGAATGATGGCATAGGTAGGTACCATCATTATTAATTATTATTAATCAATTAATGCAAAAGAGGACTACTACACTACTTTAGAAACTAATATGGCTAATATGGGTACTCACTTACCTACAAACACTTCGGAAAATTGCGCTAAACCCGCGCGCCGCCTCAATAATTTTGGCTAGATTCCATATTAGTCCATATTTCCAACGTAAAATTGAAACACCACAGATGTGATTTGTTGGATTTCGGGAAACAAATTAAAATCACATTCACAATGCACTTTACTGTTTTATAATATCACCCCTGTAGCCGCAGCCGCACTTATTAATGACTAATTCAATGAGGTAACTACGCAGTATGCTTGAAATCAATTAAGATGAAAAATAAGACAAGATGTCAACATCTCAACTTTGCTGTATGCAGTACCTACTTTATAAGTGTAAAGTAATAAGTTCAGCATTCTTTATTGTTAGAAAGTATCATGTCATTTTAGACTTGTAAGCGGTAATCCTAAAGGTGATTTGTTTAATACTATGCCAGTATATTAATATCTAAAATACAGACAGATACTATATGATTTTCTATATATTAAAGAATGTCTATCTTATTGTTTAATAAACGATCTTAAAAGTTAAAAACGGTAGGTAACGATAAATAAATGCGGCCCAAACAAATTGATTTGTTAAATTTAAACAATACCTTTCGCTCAGTGTGATCGCATATCGACACTTTTGTTTTTAAAAGCAAGGCAGCGAGTGCGAATGAAACTAAACTAAATGGCTTTAAAGTGATGCATTTGAACATTCAATCACTTACCAATAAATTGTCTGTCCTTGAATTAGTAACTGCAGAACTTAATCCAGATTTTCTTTGCCTTACCGAAACTTGGCTTAACAAGGAATCAATTGAAGCGATCTCGGTGGAGGGCTACGATATTGTTTCCGCATTTACTCGAGATACACATATCCATGGAGGCTCAATGATACTAGCAAAAAAAACATTTAAGTGCGCACCCTGTGCTCAATTAAATAAGTGTAACGTGGAATTGCACTTTGAATCATCGTCCACCATTGCGGCAATTAACGGGAAGAAAATATGCTTTCTCACAATATATAGACCGCCGAACGGAAATGTTGAATTGTTCTTCACCAATATAGCTTATCTCTTAAGTATTGCTAATACAGTTAGTGATTACACTATTCTGTGTGGCGACTTCAACATAAATTTGTTTTCGTGTTCCATTGAAACCAGGATGCTTTTAGACTTATTTGATTCTTTTAATCTAACAAATAAAAACAGTACTGCTACAAGAATTCATGTTAATATTAACAATGTAATCTCGAAATCGGCGATAGATTATTTGGTAACTTCGATCCCCACCAATTATTATGCCTATACAACAACTAATCCACACTTATCCGATCACTTTGCTAATGTGATCGTGATATCACAGCATTTTCTTGCGCAAAGTAATGACAAAAAAGAGACCAAAGTGTGTACATCTCGCGTAACCACTAATAACAATTTAGACAACTTCAAATCAACCCTTGCACTTGTGAACTGGGAGAATGTATGGGAGTGCGATGATGTAGACTCGGCTTTTCAATTATTTTTTGAGACAATTCTATGGTTATTCAATCTTATATGTCCCGTTATAACCAAAGTGGTAACAACCAGAAGTACTGGGCAAGGACCAAGGTGGTTTACATCCGAATTAGCAATTGCTAGGAACGATCTAAAACACCACTTCTCGCAACTAAAATCTTGTGATTCCCAGTGCGTGTTCAAACACTACAACTTAAAAAAGCGAAGATATAAGCAACAAGTTAAACATTAAGCTAAACGCACATACTATCAAAAGGTTATATCAGACTCACAGAATAAACCCAAAACCCTGTGGACAATGGTGAATCGTGAAACTGGGCGAAATCGTGAAAAAAGTAGAATTGCACTAAATCATGAAAATACACTAATAACTCACACGCAGCAAATTTCTAACTTATTTGGAACATACTTTTCAACAATAGCTTTGGACCTGACCAATAAGCACTTTGACAAAAACACGACATGCTCTGTTACATTAGACAACAGAATTAGTCAATCAATCTACGTCTATCCAATAACACAACACGAACTAAATCGTACATTGGATTCCCTAAAAAACA